AAAAAACGAAATAGAGCGTATATTATTATTGTTATTAGGTTAGAACTCAGTACCAGGAGGCAGGCCTAGTCTTGAGATATGTGGAGTAAGATCGGGGGTCGCCAAATTCTTGATCCTCTTCAGTTTCCTGTGGGATTTTCTCGGCATGAACAAGAAGTGGCCTTTTGTATTTTGCTAGCACAGAAAGCCCTTCCTGCAGAAAACCATCATTTATGGGCAAAATTAGATATATATCCTAAAAGAGATAATATTTGAAGATGGAACGAAAATGGTTATCTGGGATACCTTTATATGGCTGGCGTTTGTCATGGGAAAATCGTTTATTCCTGAAGGGCACATGAAAGACTGCGGAAAAAGATATTTAGAGAAAATGTCAAATGTAATACGAAGAGCACGATGAAAAATTCAATATAATTTTTTTATATATATATTCTTCAGAGACTGATGCTAATTTCCTTAATCCATATTCCACCTCTCCCTCAGCTCCCAAAAGTTTTTTTCAACACGATATAAATAAAATGGAAATGAAAATGCTGATGTGCTTTGACAGAGAGAAACTATATTCAAATGTGGATCATCGAAAAAGTTGACATCAAATCCTCATTACACCGATGTATGCTATGTAAGAATTCTATTTATTTTGTTTTTTGTTTTTTTCAGAAAGAGTGCACAAATCTGAACCTTCAAGCCAAGTGCTCCAGCTTCAAGAAGACGCTCCAAAATAGTTGTATTCTGTGCATTTTCCGGAACCAGACCTCCCCAAAAACCTATATTAGGAAAGAGGGAAAAAAATACGCTTACGAATGCTAAAACACCAACACTCGAAAATAAAGGTCGAAAGCAAAAATTTCATACCAACATCAACGAAAATCCTCTTTTGAGCGGCCTTGATCTGAAATATCAAGCAGATAAATTTAGATAGATACAAAAAATAAAAAAATAAAAAATGAGAATACAAATAACTACAAAAGCACACACTGTACTTTAAGTTTGAGTGTTTCTTCCGAGGTCGTGGATGGATCACTATTCAGTGGCATGTCGATCAATGTCGTGATTCCACCTTTAAGGGCACATAGCAAACTAAAGATTAAATTGATCCTTATTTCAAGTGCTATTATATCAATAAACTTCAATTTATGCTAAAAAAACAAAGGGATTAAATCAATAGTTATATATATGTGCATATATATACCAGCAGCGGCTGCTCTTGTTCCAGACGGGAATCCTTCCCATTCTGTTCTTCCTGGATCGTCAAGATGTGCATGCCTGTAATATAGGCACAATCATATATAAACATATACCTCAAATTCATTAAATTTCCAGTTAAAGCAAGCAATGATTAAATTATTTATTTGACATGAAGAAAAAAACACATAATGTTATATTAACCTTTTTCCAAAAACTTGCTTTTGGAGTAATTTATCATTATTTTCCCCATGTTTTACTTTTACTCTCCCTGGAAAACATTTAATTGAAGAATCTATATTGATACAATGGGAAAAGAGTATTTTTTTTCTTATTTTTCGGTTATTTGTCATCTTACACATCAATCAATCCTGGCATAACAACAGCTTCCCCATAATCCATAACTTGATTAGTCCAAGTTTTTCCTCGCCAATCATCTCCTTCGACAACAGATACAATCTTCCCTCCTTTTACTTCAACTGTTCACCGTTTATGTTCAAGAAAATTAGTTATTACAAAAGCAATGCCACATAACTTTTTTTTTTTTTTTTTTTNAACTTTGTATCAATCTGTAATAAGTGACAATGATCATCTTCACAGCTTACCTGCACCAGAAATTACTGCACTAGGTGTCACGATACGTTTGCTAGCTATCCAAAAATGTCTATACTCTGTAAGGCTGCAGTTGCTTCTGTATGCCTGTAAGAAAAAAATTTCTATAATGCATTAGCAATAATTTTATAATAGCCCATAACATGAAAAGGACAGGTTGCACAAAAATAATTGAGTCCAATTTATTTAGTGAAAGAATATTGAAATTAAGAGAATCTAATCAACTATATCCAAATTCATTGAATTCTGTAAAAGCAGATTAATGGACTTTTATATTCATGCATTGCGTGCAACTTGGGCACTTTGATTGGAATCTTTGGCCTTTTGTGTTTATTTTTTCCACTAAAAGTAATTTGAATATTCAAGATAACATTTTTCTTATAAAGTTATATTGTTGTTATTCATTTTTAATCAAGCAACTGGCTGCTTCACATGTTTAAAGTTTAAAGTAATTTTTCCAAGAACAGTGAAATCAATGGAATCACCATAGCGAACAAAAACAAAAAAATTAAAAGAAAACCCGTTAGATTTAACAGAATAAGAAATCTTCTTTTATGAATTAGGTAGTTTATTGATTGATCTTTGCAGACTAAAAACTCAACCAAGCAGACATGCCCTGTGCAAATGAATCAAATCTTTAATATGCATGCTCATAGATGAAACTC